GATGAGCACGTGATCATGCACCAAAGAAAAGCACGGATCCACAATCAGCACGGATCCACGATCAGCCCGTGACGAAAAGCACGTATCCACGATGAGCACCGAGCACCAAAGAGCACAGTCACACACACACACACACGCAGAGAGAGAGAGAGAGAGAGAGAGAGAGAGAGAGAGAGAGAGAGAGAGAGGGGTCCTTGCATGGCTCCCATGCAGCGATCTTGCCATGCAGTGCAGTAGGCACTTCCTTCTTCCAGTTGATGTGAGAGAGAGAGAGAGAGAAAAGAGAGGCGGTGTGGCTAGTGTTGTCGTGGAAGGGGGCGGAAGTCATGGGTGGTGATGGTGGGTTAGTGAAGGAGATGGAGAAGAAGAGGAGGAGGCGGATGTTGTCTGGATATGGCGGAAGCCAACGGCGGCTTCAACCAAGCGGAGAAACAGGAGAGCGAACGGGAGTGGGAGAGGGAGAGGGAGCAGAAGAGGTCAGGTGCACCAAGAGCACGAGCGGAGAAGTAGGTCGGTCGGTCGGTTGCAGCGGTCAATTTGGATGATGCCATGATGCCATGATGATGGATCTGTCTGTCTGTCTCACCCCCTTCCTCGTCTCTTCCCCCTCCTCGTCCAATTTGATCCAATTCACACCGCCCGTCGCTCCTACCGCCTGTCTGTCTGTCTCTCCCCCCTCCTCGTCTCTTCCCCCTTGTTTTCTCCGATTTTAACATTTTCCTAGACGAAAAGAAAAAAAAAAAAAACTCAGGACATGTCCTTGATGCCGGATCGAAGAACAGTCGTTCCTCCTCCTCCTCGTCCTCATCCTCTTCCTCTTCCTCTTCATCCTCGTCCTCATCCTCCTCATCTCATCCTCCTCGTCCGGTTCCATCCAATCCATGTCCTTGATCGAAGAACAGTCGTTTTCGAAGCCCGCGGTTGTCGATCAAAGAACAGTCGTTTTCGTTGCGGGCGAAAAAAAAGCCCGTGGAAGGCAAAATTACCTCTGCGATACATGTCAAGCTCGGTAAGGTGCAGAATTCCTTCGATTCCCCCCTCGGGAGCTTCCCTGGATCATTCATTACTAGACATGAACCTCCCTCAGCTCATCTGTACAGCACAGCACTCAGATCATCACAGGATCGCAGCAGAAGAACGTGGAGATTGGTTCAAGAGACGGGGAAGAAGGATGCGGAGCGAATGTAGATTGGCTGGCAGAGTAAAGAAGAGCAGAGATGGAGAACATCCAACAGAAGGGCTCTCTCTCTCTCTCTCTCTCTCTCTCTCTCTCTCTCTCTCTCTCTCTCTCTCTCTCTCTCTTCCTGGCACATCCTGCAGTTGGTCGACGTATTGCTTTCAGGCGGAGAAAACGAGGACGTGGATTGGAATTGGACGAGGAGGAGGAGGAAGAAGAGGAGGAGAAGAGGAGGAGAAGAGGAGGAGGAAGAGGAGGAAGAGAGGGGAACACCATGAAGAGTAAGACGAGGAGGTGGAAGAAGAAGAGGTGGAAGAGGAAGACCAGGAAGAGTAAGAAGCGGAGGTGGAAGAAGAAAAGGAGGAAGAGGAGGAGGCGAGCAGGAGAAGGGAGAGGAGGAGGAAGAGAACAAGAGGAGGAGAAGAGGAGGATGACGAACTCACCGAGGCGCGTCCGGCGGCTCGCCACGGGATGATGTGAAGGGCTTCGCGACGGAGGGCAGCTACCCGGTGGGTCCGACGGCTGGAGGTTCCGCATTCGAACGAGCGCTAGAAGATACTCGGGCGTTCATTGCTGTCCGGAAAAAAAACAATCGTGGGCCTTGAGACCGTTCTTTTTTTTTGGGAAGGCGCGAAGGGCACCTGAGGCCGATCTGTGGCCCAACCGGGCTGAAAAGGCCCTCGAATTCATTTCGCGCTGGGCTGCCCAGTGGGTCGTCCGGGTGAGCCGCCCGGCCAGGCCACCCGGGCGGGTACCGGGCAGGTCCAGGAAGGCCCGGGCGGCACGGTTGGTAGCCTAGACCATTGCGAAGTTTTTT